AGTCAGATGAAGCTCTAGAGACATTAATCCCTGAAACTAAACAAGGTGTCTTTATAGAACAGTGGGTGATAAAACTGACTTTTACAATAAGAGGTTACTTGCTTCCTATACAAGTACCATTCTCCAAAAGAATGGTGCCACATGTAAGGAGGAAAAAAATAAAGTCTTCATAGTGATAACCTCCTGAACTCTGCTCACTGACCCGCGAGAATATTACTAGAGCAGTTCTACCACAGCTTGTGCTGGCCATGCTGATATTCACTACTCAAACTCCAACAACATCTGCATCTTCCAGCAGCACCCCACCCTCCTCTAGCTTTTCACTTGTGCCTTCACTCCCTGGCACATGTACCCAGCAATGCAGACTCTTCTCCCATGGCCGGAACCCCTGGTCCTTATCCACAGAGAACATCACTTCTCATTTCTTCAGCACTAGGTCTCTGCGTAACTGAATCGATCAGAAAGTTTCCAGAGCTGTTCTAACCAGTGACACTGTGATACCAGCATCTGGATAACACTGGGACCACTGGGGCATGGTCTCTTCCAAAAGAGATCGTAAAGAAATTAAACCATTGGAGTTTCCACAGACGGTACACGTGGAGCTGCTCCTGAACAACCCTTCACTGCTGGACTCCTTACGGGAGCTACAGGAGTCAGCCATGGAAAATAGGGCTTGAAAAGCACTCTGGGAAGTCATTCTACCCGTCACACAGGGCAGAAATAACCACACCTAAAATCCCTGCTGCCTGGCTTGTCTAAATGTGTTCCTGAGAACAGGATCCAAAGCTGTCTTCCACGCACTTGAAGACTGACCACATCCCAACACAGCTCTGGATCCTCTCTGGCTGCAGCAGATAAAGCATATTATCCACTATTAACAGTAATAATAACAACAAAATCAATATTTAGATTTTATCACTAACTCATACACACTCTGTTTTTTTAAAACTCAGATTTTTCGAAAAAGATACCTCCGAGGAAATGCCCAGAGCAGCCAAGGTGACTTATGAGAAGTCTTAATAGCAAAATAGTGACGATAACAGTTACTGGAAAGGGTTAAAGGATTATTTTGATATGTGCAGTTTCTAAATAATGAGTTTCCCTCGAGCTCAGTCAAAACAGAGAATCAAGACCTGGAGATCTTTGTATGAAATCAGAGAGGAGTAACAGACAGCAGCCAGCACGACCTGGCCCAGTTACCGTCACAAATGTCATCTCAGGGGATGACACATTTGCCTGACAAGATAACGGTGCTGATCGTTATATGTTGAGATTTATGTAAGTACTGACTGAATGTTGCATAATATTGCAATTAAAGTATCCAAGCATTTATAAGGGGGAAGGGGGGAAAAAAAGGGGA